CGAATGGCTGTGGCCTGGTTAAGAAGGTCTTAAGAAAGGTGGTGGGCTATGACAATTCTGCTTCAGGAGGTTCAGGTGGGTCATCGTGGGGTGACCGGCATGGCCGGGTCCCCGCCCGAGGCACGGGCCAATGCCAGGAGACGTTGGTCCTTCGCCTCCCAAGCCGAACTTCTGCTGGGCCCTCGACATGCAGTGCTGGCTTGTAGCCCCCTGCTGCCCTTACCCTGGTTCCAAGGGGCCAAAGCAAGGACAGGGATTCCCCAAACCCAGGCAGCAGTGGTGACACAACCAGGAAACCCCAAAGCCCATGCTCTGACAGGTGGCCCTTCACTTACGGGAGCAGCGAGACCGGCATCTCGTAAGGGACAGGCCTGTGGAGGACCCCAAAGCCTGGCTTCTGTAGTTTACAGTTAGAGCTCTATTTTGTTATGGGTTTTTAACTTTTAAGTCCTGCTCTGTTTTCCTGGGCAGGTTTCTGTTGATGTTTACCCGCTACAATTTTGTTAAAATGTCAGCTCACACCACTCCTCCGGGCCACCGCTGCCGCCACCACTCCGCCCCGGCCCGGGACCGCCTCCCTGGAGCCACTGACCAAACCCTCCTCGCCTGCTCCTATCCGTCCTCCCCTCCCCCTAGGCGAGGTGCTGGGGGCTCAGCTAAGTGACCACACGCTGAACAGAGACCCCAAATGGTCTAGCACCCTTCCTGGTCCCCCGTGGCTGGGATCCCGCCTGTCCCCAGCTCTATCAGAAAGGGGATGCTGAGGGTAAAAAACAAAAAAAAAAACCCTTCTTCTAAGGCTTAGCTGAGTCTTTCCTCACTGCCTCGGGCTGTGGCAGGGGAAGCAGGAGGACGGGTGTGTAGATGCTGGGGCGGGAAGGATGAGCCGCTGTGCACGGGGCCCAACAGGGAGCGGGAGGCTGAGGTCCCTGAGCTTGCTTCAGGCAAAAGGCACTCGTGACTAAGAACCTTAGTTCTAATGAGGCCCCTTGGCAAAGGGGAGGAGAGCAGACCATCTAGAAAACCTAGCAAGGGCTTTTAACTAGGAAAACTCAGCCCAGGAAAACCTCACCAGAACTTGTCCGGGGGATGCAGAGCTGTCTGGAAACTCATGCACCTGCAGCCTCAGATGTCAGGCAGAGGACGGATTCGGGTTCAGTAAGACAGTGGGTGACTGCAGGACATGCAAGCGCATAAAATAGAATAGCCCCCAGCTGAGGTGGCTTACACAGAAGAGCCCCTTCCTGCCCGGGGGCCTCTGATTTCCACCTTCTCTGCTCACAGAGGCTGAGTCTCGCCCCTGCTGTGGTCAGTACTCGATTCTGGATCTCTCCTCTCCCACACACCAAGCCCCAGAGGAGGCGACAAGGGGGACAGCCATAAAGAAGTCCTTTACCCACAGCTTAGTGGCCAGTAAGTGCCTTGAGGACTAGGGACAGAGACAGCCTGCAGACACGGCCTCAGGGCTGCGGGGAACAGTCTCTCCGTTCTGCCTACATTTGGGCTCAGCCTACAGGGCCCTCTGCCCCCTGGTCTTGGCTACTTGGTCCTTGTTGCTCTAACAGTCTCGATGTATACCTTGCCCTCAGGCAGACAGGAGCTCTCTCCAGCTCGGGTCTTGGGGGCCAGCAAGGTCAGGCTATCCACTTGCATTCAGGTCGTCAAATGACAGAGATGGGCCGGGGAACGGAAAAGCCATGAGGAGGGGCTCTTTTTCTTTTGATAAAGTAACAGAATCTGAGGTCCAGCATCAGGAAGAGCTTCTGCAGGGAGAGCCTGGGATGAGGGATGAAGAGGCTGCTTCCTCTTCTAGGGGCCGCTGGGGAATTCTGACAGCTGTCGGTCCGGGGTCTAAGCCCGGTGACGTCTGGAGGGTGAGGAGATGCTGTTGAGTGTCCTTGCAGGACCGCGATTCTGCGGTCAGCACAGGAAGAGTCTTGGCACTCCTTCCCGCCGTGGCCCCTTCCCATGGGTGTAGTGACCACAGTCACTGTCACGAAGTGGGGAGGCTCACCTCGGGCACTCCTTGGCGGCAGACAGTGCCTCTTGGCAGCCCCAGGGGCCATGGAGGCTCCTCAGGGCAAGAACCCAAGCTGGTTAAGGATGTTTCACTCCCTTTCATCTCCTCCCCACCTAGAGGACTCTCTTTTCTCTTCCTGGCTCAGAATGTGACCGCCAACCAGAGGGTAGTGCTGGCGGGCTAGGGGTAGCCTCACACCTGGTTCCGAGGCCCAGGTGTGGTGCCATTTCCCCAGGTCAGACCTAAGCGGGGCTTTGTCCTGGGATGAACAAGGTTGCCCGAGAGGCTCCTGGAGGGGTGTGAGGGATTAGATGGGCATCTGTAAGGGACTTCTAAAAGCTGCATGGGAAGAGGGGCCTGGTAGCTGTATATATGGTCATAGGCTTTGAGAAGGCAGGAGAATAAAGGGAAACTGGAGAGGGGGGAAAAAATAGGCCAGATAACTTTGCCTAGAGCCCCAGGGAGCCTAGCGCCCTTCGATGGGGTGCACCCTGCCTTGGCCCCCAGACTCCAACTTACCCAGCCCCACCCAGGGCCTGCAGGCTCACAGGCTCACGGCTGGGCGAGGGCTAGGGCTCCATCAGACCCCCCTGACTCGACCCCGTTCTTGTTGGAATGGAACCACTTCCACTGGCCTATTGTTCGTCTCTCTTGTACTTCTGATGGTAGTTATTTATTGACTCTGGTAGCAGGCAGTTCTTAAATAAAGATGATTTCTCAACGTGCTGGGGCAGTGGGCACCTGCTGTGGGTGTTTATCATCAGGCTAGAGCGCACGGTCCGTCCTGTTCTCTGGCCCAGGCCGGTCGCCAGCGCCCACCCCCCTTCACACGGTCAGCTCGAAGGAAGTCACAGCACACAGTCCCCTCCTGCGTCGCGCAGGCCTGGGACAGGGGAGAATGAGGCCAAGGAACTGTAAGGCAGGCCCAAGCAGAACCCGCGCGGGCTCTACCCAGCACAGGGGCGCAAACGGTGCTTCAGGCTTCCCTGGCTTTTCAGACGTTTGACAGCAGTGACTCAACGGTACCAAAGGGAAGCCTTCCCCCCCGCAGGGACACAGTGACCCCCACCTAGCAAGAAGGTGCCAGGAGGCTGTGAATCCCTACTCACATTTGACAGTGGCCACATTCTCTCCTGCACTCAACACACACTCCTCAGGCCTCCCTTACATCTGAGACACACGCGCACGGTTGACACGTGTGCACAGCCCTGTGAGTGCTCGAGTCTTTCGGCGCAGAACAGGCAGGGCTCCGTGCCGACTGCGCCCTGGGGCCCCTGTCCGGGAAGAGGGAGACGAGGGTGAGCAGAGCCCCTGCCCCTCGGGGCTGAGCTACATGCCCAGGGCCGACGGGGAGCCCCCAAGAGGGGCCGGCCCCAGGGCAGCAGGATGGTGGGCTAATCCCTTCCACCTTGCACCCAGAGGGGCTGCTGGGAGCACCGGCCAGTCGGGAACCCAAATTTTAGTCAGCATGTGGTTCACCCTCCCTCCAGAGGCAGATCACACGCACAGAATTCAATGAACTGGACGGAGTTCCTGTCTTTACGGACACATCGGAGGGTTTGGGGTGTTTGTTTTCCTCCTCCTGTTGAATCCCTTTATGGTCTCAGAGCCAAAATTTCAGAGCCCCAAGCACAGAGGGCTGTGAGCCCAGAGCTCCACAGGCTCCCACCACACGCGTCCTGCTGGCTTGCGACAGGCGCCGGCCGAGCTCCTCACCCCCTGCCTCGGGTTTGGCTCTGTGGCTGTAAAATGGGGATCTGCCCCCGTCAGCCACCCCCCTCCTCAGCCATGCCGTACTGAGTTCATTAGATCAAAGACACTGCTTTATCCTCAAGACCTGCAAGCGCTCTCCCGAGTGCTTAAGCAAACCGCCCGGCCCTAAACTGAGGCCCTAGGTGATCCCCTCCCTCCTGTCCTTCCAGGCACAGCATGGCTCTCGTCGCGCCCTCCCACTCTGAAAAACAGAGACGCTCTGAACTCGTGATCTATGTGTATCAGGGACACTGAAAGGGCCGAAGGGCATGACTCCCCAGTGGCCGTGAGCACACCTAGCACCCAGACCTTGCCTCCTGAATACTACTCCCCACACTAAAAGGGAACCAGAATCCCTTGGAGAAACGGCAGGTTTGGGTTTGGAGAACAAAGTCCAAATGTGGATCTAAGGCATCTTGTTGTTCTAGAAAGCAAGGACATGCTCCAGGTCAAATGGGACCACAACAAAAGGACGGAAAGAGCTGGCTTGAAGAGATTCCTACCAGCCAAAATTGGGGACAACTTAAACATCAAAAATAGGACAACAGTCATGGATTATATATAATTCACTGAAAAAGAGAATCCATGGAGCATCCTCAAAAATAAAAAGAGCAGCTGTTCTTTACAGAAAAATGCAGGCTAATGAATATAGTCAAGGAAGGGCATGTTAGCATTGCCATTCTACAGTTCCCGGCAGGCAATAGGCAAGGATCACAAATGGATTCTAAGGCATTAATGGTTATTAGGAATACCACAAAGTATCCCCCCCCAACAAATTACTAATTACAAGAGGAAAATATATACACCTTTGAAGAGACCTGGCAGTCAGCACCTTAACCAAATCACCACACTTGTTAGCCGTGAGTCACCCTGACACCGTGTGCCTGAGGTGATACAAGGAGCATACACCGTTTGCGGGCGGCTATGGTCAAAACTGTGGAAGATCTGTTCCTCAGGAATCTAATCGGGGGACAATCATGACAAACCTGGATGGTGCGTCACTATCCAAGACAACCGGCTTGACTCTTGGATAAAATCAGTGTCATGAACAACAACAAAAATGCAGGTCTGTTGTAAAATAAGACTTAAGAGAAACAACCAAATGTATCATGTGAAGCTTCACTTGATCCTGGATCAACAATTAAAAGGCTCTTAAGATTTTAGAAGCCAAGAAGATGAAGTATCAACCATATGTAAGATTAGGGAATTGTTAATTTTCTGAGGTGGGATGAAGATACTGTCGTCCTACAGGAGAACGTCTTTATTAGCAGATGCGTACGTGATTTTGGAGTAAAGGGTCACAAAGTCTGTGACTAACTCACAAGTGGTTCAGTAAAATCAGCATCTATTTAGAGAAAGATAAACGTAGAAAAACATTCACAACTGGTGAATCTAAGTAGAGGATCTATGGGTTGTCATCAAATTTTTCTTTCCACTTTTCTATGGGTTGAAATTATCTTAACTGCTTTTTTAATTAAGTTCTACGCCCAACATAGGGGGTCGAACTCAACCCCGAGATCAGGAGTCGCACACTCCAACTGAGCCAGCCAGGCGCCCCTGAAATTATTTTTAACAGTAGAATAATAGAGAGCCATTAGCCATAATTTAAACTGAGTTATTAGGATCCTCGGGGTTGGGGCTCAGGAACCTCATTCTTTAAAAGCTCATCCGGGTGATTCAGACACACAGAGAAAGGACCACTAGAGTCCAAGTCTTCACATCTACCCCACGTCTGCAGCTAGAGAAAAAGTAAGGGGAAGAAATGCTCCAAATTCTCAGAATTAGCTCAGCTGGTGGCCAAGAGCCTTTTCCCTGACAATCCCATAAGCCAATTATCATCTCACACAGTCTGAATGGCCCCTGAGGGTCTTAGGACTGATTTCCTATGGAGGTAGGAAGGTCTTAGTCCTTCCTTGGGCAGCCTTGGCTGCTTGAAGAAACTAATACACTTGATTCTCCAGGAACACATGCTTCAGGGCATTGGAAGAGCAAGGAGGATAGGAGCAGGGAGCTAGTCGAGGAACTGTTCAGGGGAAACCTACCAGACGTGAAGAATCCAGTGTTCCACCAGGAATCAATTTAACACCACACACAGAGGGTTCGCCCAGGGAGTACAGAAGAGGCAGACAACTTATTAACATTTAGTGACTGTTAACATACCCAGGTCAGATGTCATTACTAACAGCCCTGGCTCCGCCACAAGAGGGCATATGCCCTCCTACAAAGCAGTGTGTGCAATGTCTCTTCTAAGAAATCGGAGGAAAAGGAAAGCTAGACAGATCATGGGACAATTTAAACAGATGCAAGAGATTTTTAACTAAAGAGTAGAGAAGGTTTAGTCTCCACGCAGCTACTATGAATGATTTTTATTGAAGAGGAAAAAAAGGTTTCCACTAGAAAAGCTATTAACACGTCCTTCTATGTGATTATACTGCTCAGAAGGGACAGAGGTGGAGAGGTATCAAGTTGTAAGAGATAGTGAATGCAAACCCGGAAGCTAGAACTCTTCCCAGGAGCAGTGGCGGTGCCTACGGTTAGGCTTTCTGGGGGCCTAGTGGCAGGAAGATCAGGAAGAGATCCATCTGGAGTACTGCCCATCGTGCTACCATGATGTTGCCCCTCTCCATGTGCCCCTCTCACTCCTTTGGCGGTGGAAGCCCTCCCTCCTAGCCAGGCCACAATCAGACCACCAGATACTCCTTTAAAAAGCTAGCCTGGCTTCCTGAACGGGCCCAGCAGGTTCCTGGGCGGCCAGCCTTTCTGGAGGGAGGCTCTGAAGGACTCAAGGCCGGTACTGCTATAGATCAGCCTCAGCCCACTGCCCAGGGCAATGATCACCAACACACCACCAGCCACTCCACTGGTAATCCCTATTCCCAAAGCTACAGCCACCTTCTTTTTCCATGGGCCGTGAGGCTTAGAACCATTGTCCAGATTCACTTCCAGGCCCTTATCGACTAACTTCTGATGCTCAGTAAGGGACTGATGGAAATTCAGGTTCACCAAGTTAGGAGGAAGGACCCGCAGCCCAAAATAGAGCCTCTTGACAAACCTCAAGTTTCTTAACAGCTGCACATCACACCGGTATGTCCCAGAGTCATACTCCTGAATAGACTCAAACCTCACGAAGTGCGAGCTGGCCCGGAAGGGTTTGAAGATTTCATCATCAGTTGAGATGATACCGCGAGCAAGTCGCCAGGTGAACCGGAAAGCTTCCCTCCCCACCTCCAGGATGTCTGAACTCAGGCAGCTCAGCTCGAATTCCTTCCCTATGAGAACGGTGAAATGGAGCATCCCACAGATCCAGTTGGTCAGACATTCTAAGCGCTGAGACATACACTTCCTTCTCACGCCATCAGGGCCCACCTCGCAGACGGTCTCCTCCTTATAGCCAAGGCCACAGGTGACCGTGCAGCTGGTGGCATTGACAATAACCTTCCCCACGGCTTGCTGCAGTTTCTTTGGGATGGCCAGTGTTTTTGGTAAAGTCACCACCAAAGGCAGACTAAAGGCCAACACCAGGCTCCCGAGGAGGAAACCAGCGGCCGAGGTCCTCATGTCTCACCTCCGTCAGCCGGCACCCGAAGTGTCCCAGGTGAATCCTCTATGGCGTCACTTCATTCCCTTGACACAAGCTCTCCTTCAGCGTCAAAACACAGGATGCACCCGTTGTCAATGAAACGCTGCAACTTGATCAACACAAATCCAGTCCTTATGAACAGATGAGGCCACAGGCAGGGAAAAAGTCACCACGTTGCTGCTTTACTAGCTCTTGCTTGTCGGTGACTACCTCACCAGTCCTCATTCTGTCCACGCCCTTGTAATGAACTTAAATCCACCCTCTCGGGAAGACAAAGATGGAAGAGATTTCAGCTTCTGAAGTCAATGTCCAAATTACTTCAAATGCATAGCAAAGCTATTCTTCCTCACCCCTGCCTCCCCTCTCCGAACTGTAGGATCCAAATTAAAGGGCTTCGAAACCCCAGTTAAATCTGGCCAAGAAATCAAATACCAGGTCTAAAAAAATAAATAAATAAAAGAGGATTACCTTGCATTAAGTTATTATTGACTTCAAAGGCTCCTAGACCCTTCTGTAAAAAAGAATTAAGAACTATGGACTGGAAGACAAGTGATCAATCCTTCCTGAATTTCTATTTCCTCCTTTGTAAATTAAGACCACCTGGCCTACTTCAGGAGGGTCACTTTGGGCAATAAATGATAAACTGTGCATGAAAACACTTTGTAAAGTGTGAAACACTGTTCACAGGTAAGGAATTTTAAATAGAAATGAAAAATTCATGAAGACAAGGACCGAGCTGCCCTTTTAGAATCCAAATGTTTATCCGCAAGAGGGGCGATACCCAATACAGCCCCTCTCCCCATTCTAGACACTCTTCCCTCCCAAGGGCACTGAAGGTATTTTTTTGGGGGGGGATACATAATCCTGCCCACCTCTCGGCCTACTCCCTTACCTCCACAGAACAGAAGAGCTCATCATTCACTTGGGTCAAGGTTGCTATGAAACAGCTATGACGTCAAAGACAGATTCTTAGTCCCAGAACAAAAAACAAAAAACAAACAAAAAATGAGCAGTAGACACTCAGATTTGACAATGATTAAAACCAAAGACTTAAATAGACTTTGAGTTTGAAAGCAATTTAATCTAAGGGGGGAAAAAAAGTCAAATAAAGAGGAATTTAACAGTACTTACATTTTAAGAAAGATCCTTGGAAGGGAGGAATGCCCTCAAATGTGTTTTTGTAATATCCAGAATATCCCCCAGCACCGTGGCCTCTGCCGAGTACTTACACACTCTTATGGCGTTAAAGAATCTGGAGAGGGATCATTCCTAGATGATCTTTGTGGTATAACACCAACTCTTTGCTTGATTCATTCATTTATAATCTTGTCCAGAACTCTGGACTCTCCGAGCACCCCCTACTCCTCCCAGGTCTGCATCTTTGCACAGAAAGATCTAACATCAGTACAGTAAACTGCATTACCTGTCCTACAAATTAAAGGGGCTAGTGAGTTTCAGCAGCAGCGTCCACAAACCAACACCCACACCTGTTCTTTAATAAACATCCGATTTTATTTACAAAGCATTAAAGCTTCAGCAAGAAGTAACCCAAGGCTAAGTCTCGTCTTGTACAAAACTATGGAACATTAAAAAAACGAAATGGCGGGATGGGGCGGATGGGGGGGAGGAATGACAAAAGAGAATACGCATATATTGTACATATTGAGAAAAAAATCAAACTGGATAGAAGGTTTCAGGAGCTGAAAAAAATTCCCAAAGCATAAATAATTATTAGGAAGTGCTGCCAGACACCATCTGGCAGGGCTGAAGCCGATCTTCTCAGGAGCCAGTCGAGGAGGTGTCCGGACATGGCAGAAACATCCCAACACACAGGCAGAGGACACCGAGCTACTCTGCCCCTGTAAGTAGGGCAGAGACCTTCTGTATCACAGTTTGTGCAAGATCGAGATCACGGTGCACGTCCACAGAGAAATGGAATGGAAATAATGTGTGCAAAACAAAAAACCCGTCCAGTGAGCCACCTGCCAATCTCAACCACTGGTAGGATGTGAAATAAGAAATGAAATTCACAAAATGAGCATTTAAGGAAAAAAGCCGAAAAAAGCCGTGGCGGCTAAAAATACAGGCATTTCGCAACTGACTCAGGGGGAGCTCTTACTTCAACTACGGAATATTTTGGTTCTAAAAGATGGAGCAGGAGAAAGAGGCTCTTCCTGATGTAAGTCTACTTTGATTGCTATCCTAAAATCCCAAAGGTAACCCACTCGTGTGGGGCTGCCCACAGGAGCACCCAGCTGTTGGCGGGACTCTCCCCGGAGGATGCCGCACCGATGACAGCCCAGGTCAGCTAAAAGCTCTCTGCAGAGAGTCCTCTCCACACCTGGGACTCTGGGTTCAGAGAATTCTCAGAGAATTTCAAACACCTCAGGTACACGTCCATCCTATCTGCTACTTTGTATATAAAGAACAGCAAAAGCAAGAAGCAGGAAGTAAAAAAATTTTTTTAAAAACTAAGCAACCTTTCACAGAAAGGAAGAGACTGAAAACATGTCGTACGGAGGAGCGGGGATACAAGAAGGAGAAAATGTCACAACAAAAGGGAAGGGACAGAGATCCACACGCGATAAAAAAAATTTTTTTTCCTTGATCTTTGATTTGAACTGTGTTGTTGCTGCTTTGATTGTGGACGGTTTGACTTTAGTCCTTGCATAGATTCCCCCACCCCAATAAAAAAGAAGCTCGTGGAGAGACCCCTTGGTTTGTTTCCCTCTCTGGACACCAGCACAGGTGAAGCAATATGAACTACTGATGATTCTTTGCTGCAGATAGATGAAACTCGCTATCTTCAAAAACCATGATTAATGAGAATGAACCACTACTGGAGGAAAACATGCAATGGAAGGAAAACAAAGAAAAACGCTGACCCTCTTACAGCCCAGCTTCTGGAGCAAAATTGGGTATGCCAAAAAGAGGGGGCCTTTCTTATCTTTCTTCCCTTTCTGAAAACTTGAAAGCTTTCGAGCACTTTCTTTTCTGCCCATCCTCTGTACAAAATAGGGAAATATAGGAGGTATCTGGTGAGAGAGTTAAGTTTAAAAATGGAAGACAGAATATGCAACAGAAGTTTTTCTAGGATACCGGCAGCAAAACTTCAGATGAGAGTAAGTCACTCGAGGACATGCACGGAGGATGGAAGGCAAATAGGATAGGAAATGTCAGGTCAAAATGATCCTGGGCACAATAGTTAGATGAGCAAAACTGGTCTCTTTTCTCCAGCCACATAACTAAGCACTGAAGTCTGAATGAGTCAAAACTCCTGTTTGATGTCTTCACAAATCCTCATTCCTGAGAGCCTATTTGGACTTATGCTTGAAAGGGAAGGGCCGTGTACTCTTCTTCCATAATTCACTTCGTCATTCAAATATACGATGCACTCCTTCCACCTCCTGGGTTGGAGGGAGAGGCCTTTGTTTTAAATTAAAGTCAATCTCAAATGACTGACCACAGTGTCCAGAGGCCACATGATGCCAAAGTGGGGAAGAACGAAGAACTTCAAGCGTCTTCATAACAGTTCTGAGATTGCTCCCCCTGCTAAAGAGATGAGACACAAAAAAGACGTCTTTTAGCATCAACCTGGACCAGCAGCGTGCATGACCAGAAACACTGACCGATGCTGGATGATGCCTGACATGCCCACATGCGCTAAGAATTCCCCCTTTAAGTTAAAACCAATGCAACTCCCATTTACTCTTTACTGAAGCAACAAATAATCCAAATCCCAAACTCCCATCCTACTACTTCCCTTAGTACTGCCCCAAAGGGGAAAAAAAGGCAAAATGATCAGAGTTCTACACATTTTCTAAGCTGCTAACCATTCTCCAACATGTTGATAAATGCTTTATAATCCAAGGAGTGCAGTAAGTAGAGGAAAGGAAATTCTAGGGTGCTACTTCTCTTCATCTTTCATATATTAATGACTCACTAAATAATTAACAATGAGCAAGAGACCCTTTTCCAAGCACCCCTGGGCCTTAACTGACATTCTCCTCACCTTAGAATCCCAATATGGTGAAATGTTAATGAAACCTACTGCCGGCATTTCTATGTGCCAACAACTGATCAGTAAATAAAATCCTCAATAGTAAAATCAAATGAACACTTCCCTGATTATTCCATAGAAGCTGTTCAACCTCTGAGGGACATCCTTAAATGGGCTGCTGTGAAATATTAACTAGGAAGTGTAAGAAGAGAACAAGGTGAAGAAAATCCTCCCAGATGTCATCAGAATTGGGGTGGGGGGTGCGGGAAATATGCCACTTGAAGGTATAAAATGGTTAAAAAATAATTGTCCCAGTTATGAAAGAAAAGTATCCACTTCTAAACTTTGCTTTTAACCTGATTTTTAAAGTAAAAGTTCAAGCACAGATGAAAACAGGCAATAAAAATATATTCCCATTTGTCTGAGGACAGATGAGAAATTAGGAGATATAAACTCTTCTGGATGCTACATTGTTAAAAATCAAATTTAAACTTTATACATTTCAGTAAGAGAAAAAGTTTCTTTAGCACTTGCTTTTCAAAACATAACTTCTTGATTTTTTTTTTAATTTTTATTTATTTTTTTTTAGATTTTATTTATTTATTTGACAGAGAGATAGACAGCGAGAGAGGGAACACAAGCAGGGGGAGTGGGAGAGGGCGAAGCAGGCTTCCTGCTGAGCAGGGAGCCCAATGCGGGGCTCAATCCCAGGACCCTGAGATCATGACCTGAGCTGAAGGCAGATGCTTAACGACTGAGCCACACAGGTGCCCCATTGATCCTTGCGGTGGGGGAATCCACTCCACAGGGTGCAACACCATGCCTTTACCGCGTTAAGGCCAATCTGACTGAGTGTTCCCACAGGTACCCTGACCAATCTTCTCTTAGCCATTTAAAAATGAACACACCACTAACGTTTTAAGCCTAAATCACGACAGGAAAAACTGGTTTGATCACAAATCAATAGTATTAATAATGAGCACTCAAGACGACTAATGAGTATAATAATAATCATTATACTGATTATCTGAGGTCAGTTAATGTTTCAGTATAGTTCTCATTCACATGGACAGACCAAAATAAGTAAATAAGTAAAGGCTTGTCAAGGCATCAGGTAACAAACCAAAACCACAGCCAGCAATACTACTATGAGTAGATAAAATAAAGAGCAACAGCAACACAAGAGAAGAGCTCCAGGCTATTTAAAATTCTGCCCTGAGGATCCACAGTATTTTGCTGCAACATAAAGGAAATCGCCAGTAACATAAAATTAAGAAAAACTGGGCTCATGATGAGCTGTTACTGGTCCTCCCGACGGCAGCCAAAGCTAAGGCGGCCTAAGAAAACGCTGGATATGAACTCTCAAATATTACCTTAGTCCGCTAGTAAGATCACAAAGAATGAAAAAGAGTATCTACTAGCTATCTGATTTTAGTAGGAGTTCATGAATTAGTCTTTGAAAGACTGATCATTTAAAAAAAAAAGAGAGAAGAGGTGGGGAAAAAACCCCCACTCCCTACCAAGCACTCAAAACAATCGGATCGAGGAGGTGGCTCAGAGGCCTGGGGTGGTGGCCGGCACCAGGAGGGCGGTGGCACAGCCACACGCAGGGAAATCCGCATGGCGTCCACGCGCCCCCAGAAGTAGCACCTCTGCTCACTTTGGCCTTTGCCACCCCCAGGAGACCCAGGTATATACCAACCACTTCATGCCACCTTTCCAAGAGCCCTTTAGACCATGTATGTGATGGGCCACAACTCTGTCACACTTGCTACTGATGACATTTACTGCCAAGAAGCCCTAATTCCTGGGCAATCCTTGAGCCCTCACAGGACAACAAGGACCCTGCTGGTTCTGCTCAATGTCAAGTTTCTGTTCTGAGGACTGTACTCTGGAGAGAATCTAATAAGGAAATTTAGGGGAATCACATAGATGGTGCTGATGTTGATCGGGCCTTTTCGAGAAGTCCCAAGCTCAGGGCTATCCTCACTAAGTAAGCTTCCCCTGATGGGTCCTCATTCATCAGAGAAGGTGTGTCTTCATGGGTGTGGGTCCACTGATGCTAGCTAAGACCAATGAGCTGTTTGATAGGGAAGAATTTTCTGTAGCCCCAGATTCCAGATGGCCAGATTATTTCTATAGCAGTCTAGGTGTCTTCCAACCTTCCTGCATAATCTCCTACAGCAACGTCCAAAAGACCGTAGCAGCTTTGTCAGGGCCGGTGAAGGCTCATGCAATAGCTCCTTCCATAACTGGTCAACTGCAGATTTTAACAAACAGTTGCCATTTATCTAGGCTGAGCAACAACACAGCCTGCACCTATAATTCCTTCAAACAATTTAGCTCTAGGGGCGCCTGGGTGGCTCAGTCATTAAGCGGCTGCCTTCAGCTCAGGTCGTGATTCCGGGGTCCTGGGATCAAGCCCCACATCAGGCTCCCTGCTCTGCGGGAAGCCTGCTTCTCCCTCCCCCTGCTTGTGTTCCCTCTCTCGCTGTGTCTCTCTCTGTCAAATAAATAAAATCTTTAAAAAGAACAACAACAACAATTTAGCTCTGATGGAAAAGTAGGGCACTGGGGCAGAGGCGAGATCCACAAAGCCTTGAATCTGCAAATACAACCTCCAGACGGAACTGACTCTTGAAGATGCTTCAACCTCAGGCATTCTGGATCAAGTTTCGCTTCTTATTATCTCCCGGAAAATCTACAATGACCGCATATCGCTTTTCATGGAAAATCTGAGGTGTGGAAGGATACAGAACTCAACTGCCGAAGAGGTTTTTTTCACCTCAGTGGCCTTTGCAGGGAGAACCAAATGAAAATCAGCATGTGGCAGCCAACCTTTGCCCGCTCTGGACCCTGCAGGCCAACCCCGGCCTCTGCCCCAAGAATCCCACACAAAAGGTATGATAGGTTGTCTCGAAACTCAGACGTCTGATGGAGTTATAAGACACCCAGTTTCACCGCCTGTGATGTGCAGCCTCCACAAAGCTCCAAGCCACACAGGGTGCAGCCCTTCTGAGAAAGTCGTGGAAGCAAACCACAGTGCCCCCGCTTTGAGGTTTTTTTAAAGATCCTGCTCCTCAGCACTCTGGTTTAACCCGGCCACTGCAGTTTTGGAGATGTCCATTCAGGCAAAGGTCAAGGAACAGGGCCAGAGGAGCAAGGAGAAAATGGGAGGAAGGAAGTGTAGTTTACATGGGGAAGGATGCACTGCACACAGTCACGAGAAGCTGGTGGGATGTTTGCATCATCTACGCAGTTGCTCTGTGTGTGTGTCGTCAGAAAAGGTACCACCGCCCTGGCCTGTATGCGGAAGTCTCCTCCAGTCCCTTTGGAGGGTGAAGCTGTTAAAACAGCTGCCTCTCGTGCTCGCTTCGGCAGCACATATACTAAAACAGCTGCCTCTCTCTAAGGCTGATCAACTCAAGCACCCAATAAAAATAATGCACAAAGTGAAAGTCCAGTTTACAGCACCTGCTCAGGATACAGGTTCTAGCCTTTACTGAGGTCAGAACCTCATTTAATCTTGTCAGCAAAGTGAGCAGGAATACACTTCTAATAGGTCCTAGATCCTGGTATGCACTCTTGCTAGGAGCTTTCAAACACGACTTCTAATGCTGAAGTATCTATTTCACACACAGTTCAAAATTTCACTGCGAGCTATTCAATATTTTGAGAATTTCAGGAAATAAAAATGGCTGAGTAAACTTTCCGACATTTGATTTGGACTCTTGTTTAGACATTTTTGAAGTATCGCTGGGAAACACCACTGCTCTTATACTCTTGAGCTTAAAATCTAACAGCGGCTCATGGTGTCTCTGACAGAAACCCAAGTGGGGAAGGCCAGAGATACTTACTTACTGCTAGTGACCACATCAATTATAATTAAAAGTTGAAATCACTGTATTAAAGAGAGGAAAATGTGAATTTTCAAAAACTTTTAAATGGTTTATATGCCATACACATACTGTTAAAAAGCAAATGATTAATTACTGGCAGGTTCTGAAGAAGCTAGGAGACTATGTCCTACAGTATTTCAATTAATTCAGTATGTCTGGCCACATTTTATTTTAAGTAGGCCTCATGCCCAGGGTGGAGCCCAATGTAGGGCTTGAGCTCACGAACCTGAGATCAAGACCTAAGCTGAGATCAAGAGTGGGACACTTAACTGACTGAGCCACCTAGGCATCCCTCTGGCCATATTTTAAATCACCCTGAAGCATTTCAGCTTTTTAAGCCAGAGGAATCTACTGAAATTTAAACCGTGTTTTTCTGTAGTGGCACCAGCTTGTACAAAAAATAGGTTATAGAGGGATCTTTTTTTTTTTTTACATCAATCAATTACTGACCTGCAATCTTCATTGGCAATGGCCATGTAACTCTTCTCAGCTATTCTAAAATATATAGAGAGCCTTAAGTGTACTGAACGTGGAGGTGCAAACTGGTATTCAGTGGAACACCATAAATACTGCTGTTGAGGAAAACATGTTGGTGGCTCAAGTGTCATGTGTTGGCTGTGAACACCTAAAATCTAAATCCAGCGCATGTGAGGTGGAATTACTCTAAATGAGTAACTGAGTAGGCTTTAGCTTCCCAACTGAAGAGAATTCCCGTTCACACGATTAACTGCAGGTGTACCTCAAACAAGGAACTCAGTTTCACCGTCTAGTCATGTGTCCCATCAGCACACTGGGGGTCACACCCTGAAGTTGAAAATTTTAAAGCAAGAGGGAAAAAACCTGAATACAACCACTGGTATTTTCCCAGTCCTATGTCTGAGTCTACTGAGCTAGCCGCAGGATATTCAGACCACTGTATTCACTAAAGTAGTGCTCATATACAGAACATTTTCCAAAAGCCCAAAATGTTTGAATACAAATGGACTCCACTTGATTACTGTTTTCCAAACAAGAGACCATCTACCCTACATTCACAAGTACTTGATAGGAAATTCAAATTGTTCTCCGTCCCCCAATAAACTCCCTCCATCATATAAAAGTGACAAAACTCAGGAAGTTTCAAAGGTGTAGGTGTTAAGAAGCTACACGGATACTGTAATTGCTGTCTTTTTGGTAATAATCTCCTATATGGAAAAACATTTCACCTTCTTCTTTAACATGCTGGTATTACTGACAAGTTTTTTGTTATTGCTTCTAGACTACGGAGAGAGAGAACCACCATCTCTGGGATTTGAATAGTTTAAAGAAAGACAAAACACTACAGTCAGGGTTGTATAAAGCAAACTTCTATTTCTGGTAATCTGTCTGGCTCTTTCATTTGAGGCAAAACAAAACAAAAAAATCTAGAAGCAAATACAGGCAAAGAAATGAATTAAACCAGGGGTTCTTACCCTTTTGGGGGGCCATGGATTCCTACAGGAATCTGATGAAAGCTATGGGCATATCTTCCCCACAAAAATATTCACATAGTATTTTGTATATAATATCAAGGGAATATAGATCCCCTGAGATCTACTGATGGACCCAAGGTTAAGAGCCACTGAATTAAGCCAAATCTGGTTTAGCCTACCCTTGGTGGCAGCCTAACACTGCGAAAATCCACCAGCGGGAAAAGGAGGGAAGGAAGGAAAGGGTGCTGCAGTTAAACGGAGTCAGGGGCTGTACAAAGCAAGGCCGCGAAGCAAGCCAGACAGCGCTCCCAGTGTGTCCTTACCTGCCAATGGCTGGCTGAGCTCCGCCTGCACTTTACCCTTCGCTGATCCTTCCAGAGGTAAACCTCTGTCCCCTTTGTAGAGTTTCGGTTTAAATGGAGAATCTTTCTCTTTACCTTTTGATCCTTTAGGCCGGCCTGCTTGCTTCTTCTTGGATTTGCCATCCCCCTTCACACCCAGTAGTGGATGGACTTCTGTAAAAGGACAGAGAGGCACGGGAAGGGATCCACACGCCGCCCATCCCAGCGCCCCAACCAGGCACAGGCCACACACCGTGACTACCCGGGAGCAAAGAGTGCTGCCCTCATGTCCCAGACCCCTTAATACCAGGAGAGAAGTGTGCATTTACTAATTATAAAACTATATAAGAGTGGCTATTGCAGGAGAAATCGCTGCTTGGCCACGGGCATGCAAGGCCTCCACGGCTCAGACAACAGCTCCAAACCAAAAAGGCAGCTGAGACACAGTGACAATGGAGCACACTGAGCCGTACCAGGAACGCACACAAGCACACTGGCAGGGGAGGAGAGAAAGGGAGTGGGGCTTTGGATCCAGGCCACCCGGGGCGACAGTCCTGACTCCTCCACTCCCCGAGACCTTGGGCAAGCCGCCTGACCTCTCCAAGCCTAAATTTTCTCCTCTGTAAAGCAGAGAGAGTAAAACAACTTGCGGAGTTGATGTAAAACTCAGCAGTGACACAGAAACAAAACAACAGTGCCTGAAGCAAGCAGGCGCACCATCAGCAGCATCAGGGAGACACAGAGCTGCATCATGAACGGACTGCGGTCAGCTAAAAGAGGGGGATGGCCAACAGTAAACACACACACATACACCCCCCGACCTATCCCAAGAGGTGAGAATAAAGGCTGCCCAGTCAGACTGTAAAAGCAGGGAGGAAGAATGAAAAGACTATCCAGGTCTGACCAGTACTTTACCACCTAATAAAACCACTCTACAGGAAAAAAAGAAGAATGGTATAATGAAACAAACTCTGAGCCAGAGGTCAGAAGACGGCACGTTGTCATTTAGGCAAGTACTAGAAGGCACAATTTCTCCACTTTAGAAGGGAAGTGAAAGCAGATGAAATCGTTACAAAGTCATAAGGAGTTATTAAAAAAAAAAAAAAAAAAAAGACTCATGGGAAATTTCCTCCGAGGTAAAATCACTCAAATGGGAAGTTACCAGACTGTGTCGGAGAGTAAGAAGTGATGTCTATCAGGCAAAAGGGAGAAGACGCAGCCCTTACCATCATTAGGTACTCCTTGAAGTTCTATATTGGTTGTTTTGGGTTTCTTCTTCGGTGGCTGGGACCCATCCGCTGAAGACTGCCTCTTCTTCTCTGAACTAGCCCCTTCATCCATCAGGGAGGTTTGGACAGCATCCGGTGGGGGGCCATAAGGATTTTCTTCCGGATCTTCTACCTCAGGGGCAATGGGTAAATATAATAGAGCCTTTGAATCTTCCAGCTCTTCATCACTATTTGGAACAGGATCAGGCAAGGGATTGGAAAAAAGAGGAGACAGTTGCTTAAACCATGAACCCTTCCTCTAGGGCAGAATCACCTACATTAACCATAAGCAACAGGTATGGATCTAGAACTTTAAGAAAGCCAAGATGATTAAGAGAAAATCAGACAATATGAGTAACAAAATCAGTAGTAAAAACAAACGGTATAAATGAATTATCTCAGTTTTCCTTAAGATTTTCTATCAGGGGAAAAGGGAAGGGATTTCTTGTACACCAAAGGACTTATTACTTTGAACTAACACACGCAGGACAGCCGGGGGAGGTGAGCGTACACCAGAGCCTGAGGAGGAGGGGGAGGAGCGCCCTGCGGCCTCGCCTGCAGAGGTGGCTCACCTGCTACAGAAGGCAGCAATTGGGTCCACGCTGGTGACATCCACTTCCTCATCCTCGGCAGCATCAGCCCCTGCAGGAGAGAAACGGCACAGGTGTAAGAAGAAGGAAAAACACGGCTTTTTACTTGCAGCCTAATGATTTCCATAAACTAAAATTCAGCAGAAACAAAGGAGGACAGCCAAACAGTTCGTTTTACTCAATAATTCAACAAGTAGGTGTTGAATCTCCACCCTATGCTGGGCACTGGGGATACAGTGATGACCAAGAAAGCCGCACACAGTTCTTCAGTAAAAACTTCACAGCCTAACCAGGGAGACAGGTATCAACAGATAATTTCCATTCAAAAAAAATTTTTTTAATTTATTTGAGAGCGAGAGAGAGAGAGAGCATGAGACGGGGGAGGGTCCTAGGGAGAAGCAGACTACCCGCTGAGCAGGGAGCCCGATGCGGGACTCGATCCCAGGACTACGGGATCAGGACCTGAGCTGAAGGCAGTCGCTCAATCAACGGAGCCACCCAGGCACCGGATAATTTCCATTCAATTCAGTAAGTGTGCTACGAATATGAGAAGGAGGAACAAGTTATCTGAGTTTGGAAAGGCTTCACACAACATAATCCAGCAACATCAATACAATACAGAACAGGCCGCCTCCCTGGTGATCCTCCTAAAACACGGGGGCATATATGTGATCTAATATCACACAAGTGAGGATCAGCACTTCCAACCTGGAAAAACCAACCTCAGTCCCAATTCCCTGATTCCTGGCACCATCAAGTGGTCCAGCAGGCGATGACCTGTGACATTAATTCCTTAGTGAGTAATTAACTTACAACCGGGAATACTAATAAGCATTCATACACACGAACCCCCATTAGATATAAAACCCTGTGTTAGACAACCATGCGGATTAAAAAGTCAAATCTTTATTCTAAAGGAGCTTCCTATCTAGTTCAGAAAACGAGATAAGAATAACAATGAGGGGCGCCTGACTGGGTCAGTCGGTAGAGTAGGCAACTCTTGATCTTGGGGCTGTGAGTTCAAGCCCCATGTTAGGCAAAGAATTTACTTAAAAAGCAAACAAACAATGAGCACTATCACAATCCTAATCGAAAATAACATCTGAATGCTTACCTTGGCCTAGGTGCTACACTGGGTCCCTTACACGAATTACTCCCCACAACCCTAAAAGGCAGGTTCTATTATTACCACTATTTTACAGATGAGAAAATTCAGGTTTAAAGAGTAATAAGGGGCGCCTGGGTGGCTCAGTCGTTAAGCGTCTGCCTTCGGCTCAGGTCACGATTCCAGAGTCCTGGGATCGAGCCCCACATCGGGCTCTCTGCTCGGCGGGAAGCCTGCTTCTCCCTCTCCCACTCCCCCTGCTTGTGTTCCCTCTCTCGCTGTGTCTCTCTCTGTCAAATAAATAAATAAAATCTTAAAAAAAAATTAAAAATTAAAAAAATAAAGAGTAATAAGCATTTGCCCCAGGCAGTTGGACTCCAAAGCTCATGCTGTTTACCTTTATCTTCCTGCCATGGGGGTGACAATACCTAATACAGACTGAGCACCCAGCATGTGCAGGTGATCAGGTGATCATCAACAATTCATCAGGAAACACAGTGATATAATAAGAGAGCTGTTAAACCCTAGTAAAAATGCTCACAGAGGCCCTCAGTTGGTGCGTTCCACACAGAGACTCTCAGAACACCGTCAAAACTGTGTAAGCGTAAAGAAAAAGAGACTGCAGTCAAGAAATATTACCTGTCTGCTCAGGCTCACTCTTATCTTCATCTTCAATATCAAACTCTGATTCCCTTTCCTCATATTCTACATTTTCATCCAACTCCTTGAAGTCTGGGGCAAATGCACTCCAATTTTCCTATGCCGCAAACAAAATACACTACTTAACCGTATGAGAAAGCAATGGTCTGTAAACTCGACATTACTGATAGAAATGAAAGATCGGAGCACATACAAGACTTAGAACTCTGAGAACAAATCTGGCAGATAACAAAAATAAGGTACCTATAGGTTTTACTGTCTTAAGGTATTTGGATCTTAAACGCTCCACGTTATTAACTACAGTTCTCTCATGAGAACTGCCATCTTTAATCTTTTAAAGATATAATTATCAGATAAAACACTGCATTTTCTTAGGAGTACACGGATTACAAACATGATTAAAGTTGTTCAAAATAAAACCAAGATGTAAAACAGAAACTAACTGAGCTGAAAATAAGAAAAGCAAAAGAAAACTCTCTCTCAGGTAACAGAAAAATGTTAACAGAAAGTACACCAGACTTTCTCCCTGAAGACAGAGGTAGTAAATCAGCTTTGGACCAAGACCTTCCCAACAAAATAAAGCAAAACTGAATCAATTTTAATTAGGTTACAAGAATCACATGCAAAAGAAATTAAATAGGTCATTTTTTGCTTACTACCTGTAAGGTTCTTTGATATAAAGAAAGGATATCTAGCTTCAAAGCAATTAAACCAGAAAAAATACTTACTACTTGATTTTGTGCCCAGATAGATACCACTCCACTTGAAATGGATGCTATGATGGGTCGAACAGGGTGCCACTAAATTTAAGGAAGGAAAGAAAAATCAGCTCTAAGAATGGATCCAAGATTATCTGTTTCACATCAGTAACCAGAGCAACCTCTCATTCTACTCACAGCTACATCCAAGAGGAGTTCTCCTCTCGTCCCATGGAGAATCTTCACCAGGTTGCCAATGCTTTTCTCCCAGATGTACAAGGCATGCTGCCGGGCTGAACCAGCCACTATGTATTCTCCATCCCCAGAGAAACAACATTTCTTCCACGGGGTCCTGAAGGACAAAGAAAGTACCCAAGGAGAACCAGAAGCTGAGCTCAGGTCATGTATTGCCCCATATTCTTCTAGGTGGTGATACACACCTATTTACCAAGTCCTGTAACTTCTGCATGGGTTCAGGCTCTCCATCTCTTCCACAAGTTAAGATTTCTCTGCCATCATAAACTCGGATTATCCGATCTGCTGTGTTAATTAAAAAGCAACTAGAGAAAGGATAAAAATATCAACACAAGAGGTCAGAAATGTTTCTGTTAACATTTTCTATTAATATCTGTTACTTAGAACAGTACCACAGAACAACTACTCCACATAAGCTAGAACACTTATGTACTTACTTGTCACCTTTCAAAGCAAAATAGAATTTGAAGTGAAGATATGTTGTATACTTTGTGTATCCCTGAACCCTATATGCACAAACTGATCTTCAGTATTTATTTTTAATCTTTAGTATTTGATTGAAATCCATGACCTCTAAAGTGAAACCAGCTTGCTGAATTCACAAACTTATAGTTAGACATACAATGCATACTTCATTTCTCTGGCCTATCTTATACATAACATATTCTTCCTAATGAGTTAGTAAACTATGTCATTTTAAAGTGTTCTTTTACTGTAATGACATTGGAAATCTGTCTAAAATGTAAGTTATTTCACTACCTTCCTACAGATTTCACTAAGCTTTCCTGAATTCTAACGAATTTTGAACATGAATGTCCTCTAAGTACACATGCATGCTCCTATACAAGACAGAAGGACTGTCACCTCTCATCCTGACACCAACAATCTAATTCTTCTCGTTTCTGTTGACATATCTACTTCTAGTTGGGTAACCACACTTATCAGAAAAACATCTGAAAGTAAAAGGGTAAATAGTTTTATGTAAATAGAGTGTATGTCCAATTACTATGTGAATTCTGTGACATGACTTTGGATTATAAAAACAGGTGATCTTTACCCAGAGCGTACTATGTGGCAGGCATTTTAGTTCTAAGCATATACCACCCCGATATCTTTTCTGCCTTATCATCTCCAGAAAAAGAGGATGTGACTACTGGTTCAATGCAATAAATTTTATGAACGTAAGAACCAGATACTGACAGTTTCTAGTTATTTTTTAAGTAAATTTTCTTAAAGATTTAATATACACAAAAACTGTGAATCTCAATGTATTTTTGCATTCTACTCACTTTTAAAACTGTCCCTAAAAAGACAAGGTCTCACCTCCCCTTCCGGGCAAACTCTATGGACTTAATAGCTGTGGTATTGCTTGTTCCAGTTGTTACTCTGAAGGAAGCAACAAGATCCTGAGAATCTGTTTTTAGGACCAAAATCTAAAGTTCAAAGGAAAAAAAAACAAAACCATTAAGTATTCTGATAACTTACAGTAATTAGAACTGGCTTCCATTTCTAAAACTGGGCAAAGACTGGGTAAAAATATAAACATCTCGGGGCGCCTGGGTGGCTCAGTCTGTTGAGTACCTGCCTTCGGCTTAGGTCATGATCCCAGAGTTCCGGGATTGAGTCCCGCATCGGGCTCCCTGCTCCGAGCCGGCTCCCTGCTCCACGGGGAGCCCGCTTCTCCCTCTCCCTCTGCCCCTCCACCCGCTTGTGCTCGCTCTCTTTCTCTCAGATAGATAGATAGATAAAAATCTTTAAAAAATATATAACGTCTCATGTATTCAACCTGATTAACTGATACTGCCTTTTAATTCTTCAAATAAAGAACCATGTCTTAATCTATTCTCAAAATACAATGTTTAGTGTTATTCACAATAGTCAAAAGGTGGAAGCAACCCAAGGATACGTCAACAGATGAAGGGATAAACACAAGGGGGAATGTACTCCAGTGGGACAGTACTCAGCCAGGAAAAGGAGGGAAATTCGGGCACATGCATGCTGGGCATGAAGGAATCTTCAGGACATCAGGCCGAGTGAAATCAGCCAGTCACAAGAAGACAAATGCCATATGAGTCCACTTACATGAGGTACCTAGGGTAGCCAAATTCACAGATATAGAAAGTAGAGTGATGGTTGCCAGGGGCCGGGGAGGGAACAAGGACTAGGAGGTCCCTGCTTAACAAGTACAGAGTTTCAGTTTTATAAGACGAAAAAAGCTTTGGAGATACATGGTGGTGATGGGTACACAATAATGTGAATGTACTTAATAGCACAAAACTGTACACTTAAGAATGGTTAAGATGGTAAATGTTATGTTATATTTTATGTTACGTGTATTTTACCACCATTTCCAAAAATGGCCACTTTCTAAGGTAGCCATGAAATTATACTAGCCTATACACCCCAATCACCAAAAAAAAAAAAAAAAATCAAGTTGCCTAATGGAACTACAAACTCTAACCTTTATTAAAGGGGCGCTGGCTCAGTCAGTTGAGCATCAGACTCTTGGTTTCGGCTCAGTTTGTGATCTCAGGGTCACGAGATCAAGTGGCAGGGAATCTGCTTCTCTCCCCCCCAACTCCCTCTGCTCCTCCCCTCCACTCGCACACATGCATGCACGCACTCTCTCTCTCTAAAATAAATAAATCTTAAAAAACAAAACAAAACAAAACAAAGTAAAACAGGACCTTAAAAGCCCAGCTAACTTCTTACTCCACAAAACTGCAGGTTAAGTGGGCTTAAATGATATAATATTTACAGAACTAGGTATTAAGACATTTTTATCAAATGTATTCCATTTTATACTATGACTTTTAAATTTTATAAATGAGGGGCGCCTGGGTGGCTCAGGTGTTAAGCATCTGCCTTAGGCTCAGGTCATGATCCCGGGGTCCTGGGATCAAGCCCCACATCCGGCTCCCTGCTCCGTGGGAAGCCTGCTTCTCCCTCTCCCACTCCCCCTACTTGTGTTCCCTCTCTCACTGTGTCTCTCTCTGTCAAATAAATAAATAAAATCTTTAAATAAATAAATAAATAAATTTTATAAATAAGTAACGGCCCTTCATTATTAGCAAAAGGCCCTTCTACGCTTTCTAGGCTGAGTAGTCTCTGATCACTCTAAATCAAAAGAACAGAAACTATCATGAAGGCAGGGCGCCTGGGTGGCTCAGTCGTTAGGCATCTGCCGTCGGCTTGGGTCATGATCCCAGGGTCCTGGGATCGAGCCCCACATCGGGCTCCCTGCTCCATGGGGGAGTCTGCTTCTCCCTCCCCCACTCCCCCTGCTTGTGTTCCCTCTGTCGCTGTGTCTCTCTGTCAAATAAATAAATAAAATCTCTAAAAAAAAAAAGAATTATCATGAAGGCATGACAAAAATAGGCCACATTTGCCACAGGCACGAGACATGCTTAGTCCAGGGATAAAAGATATTTCAAAGGAAGCAGAACAAGTAAACATGAAATAAGCCAATGCACAGGATGACTGATGCTTATTTCTCTAGCTTCCAGGCTTACCTTGCCTTTTGCATTTCCTGTATAGATATATTCCCCTCGCCTATCAAAAGATGCAACCACGTTCAAATCGGAGTCATCGTCTACCGGCAGAACAACATGCTTGGAATCTGAAAGGGTCAACATGACAGGAGCAGATTTCATGGGACACACGAGAACCTTGTTCCTGTTTAAAAATATGAACAGTACATTGGCTGTTGCTTTGGTATCAGAAGGCTGATTCTCCTGCCCTCTTCCCTGATTCCTGTCACTACCTCCATCAACTCTCCCAGCTCAAGCAAATTTAAAATAGTGAAAAAGCTTGAAGTCTAAATGTCTAACAATAGGGAAACGACTGAATATAAGCTATGGGATCCTAGTTTGACAAAATAAAATGTAGTCATTAAAAATAAATACGAAGAAGTAGCGAACTAGTAGAAGAAGTAGGTATGCAATAAAAAGGCAAAATGCTAACTAAAACTATGTAAAAATATGGAATTTAATACACATCTCATATGCATATAACTTGCTTTGTGGGCTATAAAGCACTAGATAACAAGCATTACACTTAAAGAACTTGACTAATAAAGAACCAAGAGAAATGAAGACAGTTATGTCTGGGTAATGGAATGGTGGGTAACTTTTTCTTAAATGTAGTTTCATTTTTTTTTAAATGTAGTTTTAATATTCGAACTACTTCCCTCTAAAGAAATTCAAATAACCGGCGGGGTGGGGAGGTGTTGGTGTGGAAAGCTCCAGGTCAAGGACCAGTTGTTATTCTTCTTCCTACCTCTGCCCACTTCCAAAGTCTGAATACTGCCCAGTTTTTAATTATATGATACAATAACACTCTCCTTAAAATCTATTCAGTAGAGACAACCTAGACAGAAACATTATTTTATGTAGAAGATTTGAAGAGATGTGTGCTTTTGCCTCCCACAACCTTAAACTGCAATTGTCATGAGCCTGGAGCTAGTCCACAGAGAATGAGACCCTGCCCCAGGAAAGAACAGCACAGATTAAACATACTGATCTCGTGGATGGTACTGGACTTTTAGGATGGGTGAAGGGAACCGAAACCTCTGGTCGCAGTCGCCTGAAAGAACATCCCACTGTGACACTATGTTATCAGTGGAAGCACTCACGAGCTTATGACCATCTCGACTCCAGCTGGAAAAAAAAAAAGGTGGGTAATTTAGCATATATTCTAAGTTAAAGTAATTTAGCACAAATTCTAAGTACATTGTACCGCTCTTAAAGATAAAAATGTCTGAGTCACACATCTGCCCTAGCTGCAGGAGTCAACAGTATTCCTTTTTTTATATATATATATACTCAAATCCACAAACTTTCCCAACTAAACAATGAATAAGAATATTTCATGACATTTTTGTATGTAGTAACAAAAGCTCGTAGTAGTTCAAGATAACAGTAACAAGTGGCTCCAGGAAATAAGACTCAAACGTTTAAAAGAGTCTATCATCGGCTTGCCCTTAAATGTTGATGTAACAAGTATTTAGGGAGTGGGAGGTGAGGGAGTATCTGAGCTTTCTGAGGTTGTCCCAGAAATAGCACCATCACAGTGTAAACAAAACAGTAAAAATAAGTATCTGTTATTTAAAATAACTAAGAAAGGAATTAATTCCTCCTGCTAAGTATAGCTAAACACCCTGGACATTACACATAAAACACAAAGACACCGGCGGGCGCCTGGGTGGCTCAGTTGGTTAAGCGTCTGCATTCGGCTCAGGTCACGATCCCGGGGTCCTGGGACTGAGACCCGCGTCGGGCTCCATGCTCAGTGGGGAGTCTGCTTCTCCCTCTCCCTCTGCCTCTGCTGCTGTTCCTGCTTGTGCTCTCTCAACCTCTCTCAAATAAATAAATAAAATCTTTATTTAAAAAAAAAGACTCTGAAGGGCAGAGCAAAGACTGATTGGCTAGAGACTACAGGATATGAGGAATGACACAATAGAAAGTTCCCTGGATTTTCTTTTTTGCCTTATATATCCCAGACTGAGTGATGGAGAAGCCAACAGCCCAGTAACACCAACAGGCTCACTCACACAAATAAAGCTCAAGAAGAGCCTGCTTTCACTAGCCAAAGGACCAGGACTGGACAGCACAGCACAGAGAGACAGAAAACTTTTAGGCAATAATGACTCTTCCAGCAACCACCGTGAAAAAAACTGCAGCCCCACCTCCATCCCAGTCAACAAAATCTAAATAGAATCTAGACCTCCACCCTTGCCTAGTTACAGCAAGGTACCCTTCTCCACTCACCGCACTGGTGTCAGAGAAAGCTCAGGGGGCAGCCAGATTTCCATAGCCATCAGCCTGTAATAAGGACTCCCACTGAGTGTTAGTGGAGGCCACATGGAGAACAGGAACAAGGTACTCCTATCCTTCCCCACCAGCATGGTATCAGACCAGGAGGCCAGTGGGGAGCCTGAACTTCCCACCGCACCTAGCATAATGATGCCAAGTAAGAAGCTTGGACTTCTAACCCATCTGGCAATTAACAAGATACTGCCCTCTCTTCTCTCCTCTCAAAGGAGGCCAGTTAAAACATAAGATTTAAATAAGCCCTACAGTCTTAGGATACCCAAAAAGCCCAAGTTTCAACTGAAAATGACTATCAATCCAAGGACACAAAAATCTCGAATGAGAAAAGACAATCAACAGATACTAACGGTGAGATAACATAGATGTTAGAATTATCTGACAAGGATTTTAATGCAGTCATCATAAATATGTTTCAATAAGCAATTATGAACATGCTTGAAATAAATGAGGAAAAAAAAAAAAGTCTCAGCAAAGAAATAAAAGATGTAGAGAAGACCTGAATTTTAGAAATGAAACACACAACTAAAATAAGAAACCCAACAGATGGGTTCAGGAGCCAATGGAGAAAAAAGAGGAAAGAATCAGTGAACTGGAAAACAGAATAATAGTTATCCAATCGGAATAAGAGAAAAAACAGACTAAAAAAAATGAACAGAACCTCAGGGACTTGTGGGACTATAATAAAAGATCTAAGATCCACATCATCAGAGTCCTAGAAGAGAAGAAAGAATGGGGCTTCAAAGTATTGAAGGAATAATGGCTGAAATTTTCCCAAACGTGGCAAAAGATATGAAACCTACAGATTCAAGAAGCTGAGCAAACGTCAAACAGGGTGAGCTCAAAGAAATCCACTTCCAAGATACAGAGACAAACCTCTGAAACCTAAAGACAAAGAAAAAAAAAATCCTTAAAGCAGCAAGAGAGGAAAGACATCTTACCTATGGAAACAAACAATACAAACAGGCAAACACACAAAAAATTCATGTGACAGCAGATTTCTCACCAGAAAGCATGGAAGGAAGTGGCACACTCAAGTGCTGAGAGAAAAAGAGCTGCCAACCCAAATTCTATTATCAGCAAAAATATCCTTCAGGGAACAAAAAGGTAAATCAAGTTATTTGGCCAGAAGATCTACCCTAAAAGGATGATTCAAAGAAGTTCTCTAGGGCGCCTGGGTGGCTCAGTTGGTTAAGCGACTGCCTTCGGCTCAGGTCATGATCCTGGAGTCCTGGGATCGAGTCCCATGTCGGGCTCCCTGCTCAGCAGGGAGTCTGCTTCTCCCCCTGACCCTCCCCACTCTCATGCTCTATCTCATTCTCTCTCTCAAATAAATAAATAAAATCTTAAAAAAAAAAAAAAGTTCTCTAAATGGAAAGGAAATGATAAAAGAAGGAATCTTAGAACATGAGGGAAAAAGAACAATGAAAAAAAAGAATAAAAATATAGGTAAATAAGATCAATTTTTTTCCCTCTAGTTTTGACATTTGAACCAAAAATTGTAACACTGTCTTATGTGGGTCTCAATGTATATAGAAGAAATATTTAAGACAATTATATACAAAGAAGGGTAAATGGAAGTACGGTTTCTACACTTCACTTGAACTGGTAAAATGTCAACACCAGTGGACTGTAGTAAGTTAGGTGTACACAATGTAATACCTAGTAACCACCAAAAAGTTATACAAATACCCTCAAAAACACTATACAGTTCTCTCTTATCCATGGGGGATTCTAAGACCCCCCCAGTGGATGCCTGGAACCACCAATAGTATCGAATGCCATGTAGACTGTTTTCCCGTACATAACATACCTATGAGAAAGTTTCATTTATAAGTTAGGCACAGTAAAAGATTAACAACGACCAATAACAAAACAGAACAATTAACAATATGCTGTAATCAAAGTTGTCTGAATGAGGTCTCTCTCAAATTCTCTTACTATACGCACTCTTGTGATGGTGTGAAATGACCAAGTGCCTAAGTGAGGATGGGAAGCACAGGGAGGGAGGGACACAGGCATCGTGATGCAGCCTGAGGCCACTACCGCCCTTCTGACATGTCAGAATCATCTGCTCCTAACTGTGGTTGACCACAGGTAACTGAAACCACAAAAAGGGAAACCACAGGTATGGGGGACTACTGCAGATGAAGTGGAATTCTAAAAAATGTTCAAGAAACCCACAGGAAGGCAGGGGAAAAAATGAAAAACAGAAGGGACAAAAATAAATAAAATTTAAAACATAAAAAAAAAGAAACAGAAGGGACAGAGAAACCCAAAACCAGTATTTACCCAAATTTTACAATAAAGAGGAGTTGCTACTGAGGAACTTGGTTGGCTGTATACCTCCGTGGTTAAGAACATAGGCTCAAGAGTCAGACTTATGCTGAAGCCTGGACATTACTCCTTTTAGCTGTGTGATCTTGGGAAGTTATATATCCTTCTGAGCTTCAATTTCTTCCCCTATAACATGGGCTCAATAATATTACCTAACCAGCAGAGGACTGTTGGCAGAATTAAGATCAGTATATATAAAATTCCTATCCCAATGCCTGGCACATAGCAAGTGCTCAAAAAACATTAACAATTATTTGTATCAGAGACAAGATGAATGTATTCCCAGACTTGGGGCTCAAGGGGCAGAGGAAGGCAGGGGTAAAATAAGGAAGTGAATATAAAGGGATCAAGTTCAAGTCTGCATACGAAAGGACTCTTGTGCCTCTCTCCCACCAGCTCTAGAACACTTGCAGTCATGCTTACCCCTCAGAAAGGCAAGTAGAAGATCCTTCTAGAGAATGTGAACCTAAAAAAAAAGAGGCCTGAAGATGCCCTTCTGTTAGGATTCACAAAAAAAAGCCAGTGACCCACCCCATTTCAGTGAATGATAGAGGGTAAGAGGGTGAGCTAAAACTTGCATACAGTGTAACAGTATGTCCATGGATAATTTCTGAAATTAACAAACCAAGAAAAAGTAACATACACATGTTATTTAGAAATATGGAGATAAATATCAGAAGAAACAGACAAAAAAATGAAAGCAGACAGGGGACCAGACCATAATGGAGTGGGGCGAAACAAGGGACAGCTTTCGTTGCTGTTCTTGTAAGCCTTACAGCGCAATCTGAATACAGAACAGAATGTTAGCTATCATTCCATTTTTTTCTTTAAGCCCTCTTGTACTATAATATCCTTTCTCTTTTCCCCACAATAAGCTTGTATTTCTGTTAAAATAGAAGGGACTCTAATTTTGAAAACGAAATTATTAACAAGTGAAAAGTAAAAGGGGCTCTCCCACTAAAAAACATAATATTAATATATCTGACAATTCCAAATTCCATAAGCAGGCACAAAATTAGAAGCTCAGGGAAAAAAACAAACACAAAAACCAGAAACTGGGATTATAGCAGTAAAACAGCAAACAAGGTTCATAAATCACAGCACTTACCATCTCGCAGGGAAGATACTCATAAGACAAATATTTGCAATAAAATAACAGGAGACACACAGCCATGATCTCAAACTTACATTTCCCCCCTCAATTTTACATTCGTATCTTCATGCAAACCAGAAGTCTAAGGACCATCCTAACTTCTGCACTTCACTCAGACTCCTCATCTGACTAATGACCAGGACTCTTACTTCTGCCCTCTCCCCTCTCCCCACCGCTCAGCCCCAGTCCTGCTGCCACTGTGCTCATCATCTCTAGCCAAGATCTCAGCACTTCCCTTATCTTCATTCTCTCTTCTTCAATCTCTTTAACACATGCTGTCCTAGAGATTTTTTAAAAAATAAAAAGCTCATCATATCACTTTCTTTCCTACAATGTCTTAATGGCTTCAGTTACCTACAAGATGAAGTTCAAATTCATACTATGGTAACACAGCATCCTCCATAAGGATCTCAGTTTACTGGCTCTTGCCATTATCACATCTCCCACACCACAATCCAGCTATCTTGAACTACCTGCAGTTCTCCATCTTATTGTGCTTGTTTGAAGCTGATGGACCTTTGCCTGGGCAGCGTCCTTTGCTTGAAATACAACTGGCAAACACCTATATCTCACAAGTTTGAGGTTAGAAATTATCTTGCCTAGGAAGCCTTTCCTGACCACTGTTCTCCTCCAGTACATGGATCATCTCTTCCTTTGCACCTTCACCTCCACTAAATCTCAAACACAGTTCTTGTATAGGAACCATAAAGCTTCAGTACCTGCACCTGCTACACAATTCATGCTCAACGTTGCTGAATGAATGTATAAGTGAACAGGTTTATGCACAAAGACGTTTACTAAACATGTAGCAGAGACACTAGCAAAAAACTGTTAAATAAATTATAATTTATCCATGAGAAGACATATAGCCATAAAAAAGGTTTTTAGAGGTATGCAAGTAGGAAACTGTCCGGTGTTAGGGAGAAAAAAAGCAAAATATAAAACAGAACATAGCATGATTACAAATTCTGCCTTTTTTTTTTTTTTAAAGATTTTATTTATTTATTTGACAGAGAGAGACACAGCAAGAGAAGGAACACAAGCAGGGGGAGTGGGAGAGGGAGAAGCAGGCTTCCCGCTGAGCAGAGAGCCCGATGAGGGGCTCAATCCCAAGACCCCGGGATCATGACCTGAGCTGAAGGCAGATGCTTAACAACTGAGCCACCCAGGCACCCCCAAATTCTGCTCTTTAAAAACTATATACAGAAACATACTAAAATCTTTACAGTAGGAATACTTGGGTGGTGGGACTATGGGAGATACTAGTACTTCTTTTTGCTTTGCTATATTTTACATAAGGTTCTAAATGATTATGCATTATTTTACAATAAAAACAAACGCATTATTTTTAACAGGTGGGAGTGGCTGGTACTCTCATTTTGCATATTACAGACAAGTTTTGGCCAAAGCTAGTTCATTAGCAGCCAAACCTAGACTGGGATTCAGGCCTCCTTCCAATCCAGTGCTTTACAATATAGCTGCCATTTCCATTTACACAAAAGGAAATAAGCTTCATAAATCTAGATCTGATTACGGGGCACCTGGGTGGTTCAGTCAGTTGGACGTCTTACTCTTGATTTTGGCTCAGGTCCTGATCTCAGGGTTGTGAGATTGAGCCGCACATGGGACTCATGCTCAGTGTGGAGTCTGCTTGTTCCTCTCCCTCCCCCTCTGTTCTTCCTTCCCCCAGCTCGCTTGTGCGCACTTGCTTGCTCTCTCTCTAAAAAAATAAAATAAAATAAAATCTTAAAAAAAAAAAATCTAGATCTGATTAGGTGCTTTTTTTGGCCCCAAGTTCATTTAGAAGAGCTGCCCTAAAATAAAACTTTCCAAAGCAAACACAGTAGGTCCCAGAGAGTAAGAAAGAAATCAATGGGAATTTATATTACACTAGATTTTAGCTCAATCTATTTGACAGAAAGCCTTAACTATAATTTAGTGAAGGAAAAGACATGCCTACGATCACTAAAACTGATGGAATTCAAGAACCTGGACAAAGCTGAAGTAGAGGACTTCCAAGTTTCCCTCCTCATCAAGACTTTCCATTCTAAATGAAAGGTCAATATCACAAATACTACTACAGCTGCAAACTTTTGTAAATATCTCATTTCAGTACTGAAATATTCTCAGACAGAGCCTGATACAGATCCACAAGTACACTCAATTTCTCCCCCACAAAGGTATTCCAAGGACAGCATTTTTTTTCAAGGTCTACAGATGCTATGAGAAATTGTACTACTAATGACTGAACATTTAAAATGCTAAGTATTAAAATATCTAGTTCAATGAGACTGGCAATTTCACAGTCACCATTCATCCCCCTAATTCAACTCATATTCAACACATTAATATTAAAATTCCTTACCATAAAGAACAAACTGGATGGATGTGCGCACTAATTATTTTAGCAATGCCTCTTGTCAAGAAATCCCAGATGACAATTCGGCCATCATTACAGCCAACTGCAAGCAGTGTGCCCCACCTGTTAAAGGTGCAAGTCAGGGCCATGCTGATACAATCCAAAGTTCCATCGGCTTCCTAAAAATTAAAATGAATACAAGAAAATAGACAATGCCACCAGGTACCCAATTATTTCTTAAAGATTCTCTATCACCTATGACACTTCTCTTTTAATTTAAATGACGATGTATACCAAAAGAAACTCTATGTGTGTTCTTATACCTATTAAACTAGCCAAAACAAGGAAATATTTGTAAACAGATGTGATACATCCCATACATTACCAGTATGACTTTGTACCCACTGTGCACGGCAATTAGGCAAAATATAACAAGATTCATTGAAAAGAGTCATCCTACTGACCCAATAATCATAGTTCTTGGGATTTACTCCAAGAAAAATAATTTAAAACAAAACCCCTAGAACAACCTGTATGTGCAACATTAGGGAAGTCAAATACATTATTTTATATTCGTATCAAGCTATTTAAAATCACCATAATGGCTACACTTGAAATACATTTCAAATATTACAAAATATTTTTGCATTTATAAAAGTAAAGCACACTTAGAGCATACATATTATTACTATGCAAAAACACTGATTGAAACTAGAAAAGCACACAGAAAAAAAAAATCTACGTATAGGTGATGGTACTGTTTGTGAAAAATCCTTCAAAGTATTGAAGGATAAGGAAAAGAAGGAAAAAAAATCCTTCTTTTTTTAATTTACTGGGAAATGAATTGCTTAAGATTAAAAGGTGATGGTGAGATTTCCCACCAGTACTGCCTATCTATTTCCTCTCTCCTCAAAATTAAACACTGAGTTCTTTATTATAGCACTTAAAGCTTCTGTAGTCAAAGAAAATGGGCAGGGCGGGGGAATCAAATAACATTTTCCGCTCAAACACAAAAGCTAGCAAGTTACCATACTCCTAAATTCACAATAAGACTATACTCTTAAAAAAAAAAAAAAAAAAAAGACTATACTCTTACCTCTGGATAATTCTGCCCAAAGGACTCTGCAACAAAGCAAAGAAAGAGTTCATGGAGCATTTGCAACACAGCAGGAATCCTCCAGCTCTCGAATGGTGGATGCAATGGTTTGCAAAGTGTGGATGCCTGGCTCAGGGACTCCAGGGGGTCACACCTATTTTCATTATCATACCAAGATGGCATCTGCCTCTTTACTCTCCTGTCTCCTAAGTTTACAGATGAGCTCTCCTGGGGCCACAGCACCAGTGATATTTTAACAGAGTGCATGCAAAAGTAGATGCAAGAATTCTGCCAACTTCTACTGAGGCAAGCATTAAGGACAATTTGTAAAACCGTGAAACAATGTTCTTCTCACTATTTTTGTTTTAGAAAAGTTATTTTTCACAAAAAAAAAATGTTATTTATGTAAACAGGTAATGGGGTTATGCTGGTTATTTTGAATTACAAACTTTTAAATATCCAATCTGTCAAACTATCTTAAGTCGGATGAACTCTCTAAAACCTTCATGAACACCAGCCAACCAGCAGTGCCATTTCCTTCCTAATAATGACATTATATTGTCACATAGTCTGGTAGTTGATTAAAGATGCAATTCTCTATATTAATTTCTTAAGCAAATGACATTTGGGGGCCAACACCCCTGAATGCTTTTCCTGTATGAAATGCAGTGTTCACACGAGACACAAACATCTCGAGCTGCAAATAACGGCATGATGCTACCCCCTGCTTCTCAGAAGTGTCCTGTCAGCAGTAACACTGTCTTTGTCAGGATGTACTTACAACATTACCTAAGTATTGTACTACAGTGGTTTTTAAACTATATTGAGAACTACAGATCCATGAAAGTTGTTTCACACATAAGGCACCCAAATCAGATTTCATTTTAAAAAAGAAGTCTACTGCTTAAAAAAAAAAAAAAAAATTTATAAAAATTAACTGAAAACTAAAGAGTGGGGGCATCTGGCTGGCTCAGTTGGAAGAGCATGCGACTCCTGATCTTGGGGTCATGAGTTTGAGCCCCATGTTGGGTGTAGGGATTACTAAAAAAAAGAAGAAGAAAGAAAAGAAAAACTAGAGTGAAAATATTAAAACCAATCAAGGGGCGCCTTGGTGGCTCAGTTGGTTAAGCAACTGCCTTCGGCTCAGTTCATGATCCCAGGGTCCTGGAATAGAGTTCTGCATCAGGCTCCTTTGCTCAGCAGGGAGCCTGCTTCTCCCTCTGCCTGCCACTCCCCCTGCTTGTGCTCTCTCTCTGTCAAGTAAGATCTTTAAAAATAAATAAATAAAAATAAAACCAATCAAAAAAAAAACACCGGCCCTACAACAAAAAACACTAAAAGAAAGATGAAACTAAAGGCAAATGTCCCCAAATTATCCTGATGTATCTAATGTGAACCAGATTTAAGTGGCTGACTGCATTCAATTATGAAAGAATGAACTGAAATGCTGAAACCAGATAGAGAGGTTTTATTTTTTTATTTTTAAAGATTTTATTTATTCATTTCAGACAGAGCGCAAGAGAGTGAGTTTGGGGGGGAGGGGCAGAGGGAGAAGCAGGCCCCCCACCAAGCAGGGAGCCCGGGAGATCACGACCAGGTCAGAAGGCAGACGCCCAGCCCAACTGACTGAGCCACCCAGGTGCCCCAGATCGAGAGGTTTTTGAAAGAAATATTCTCAAGTTACTGAAGTAATACATGTAATACAGAAATGTGTAATCAACAAATGATCGTTTCCTCCCTGCAACCCACCACCAAGGTAAAAAGCTTCCATATGTTTCTTTTTTTTTTTTTTTTTTAAAGATTTTATTTATTTATTTGAGAGAGAGAGAATGAGAGAGAGAGCAGGAGAGGGAGGAGGGTCAGAGGGAGAAGCAGACTCCCCGCCGAGCAGGGAGCCTGATGTGGGACTCGATCCTGGGACTCCAGGATCAAGACCTGAGCTGAAGGCAGTCGCTTAACCAACTGAGCCACCCAGGCGCCCGGAACAATGCATTCTAATGTACATCCTTAGTCAAGAATGTTTGTGTAACGGCCACACGACCCTATCAGTAGATACTGAAAACACATTTGCTAAAACTCCATAATCACTTCTAATGAAAGAGAGGACTACAATAAATGATAAAATCTATCAAAAACACAATTATCATTCCAAAAGGTGAAATATTAAAACCATTTCAATTAATATCAGCAACTAGGAAGGGATATATCATTAGTTAATACCATCCTGATGGTTCCAGTCAATGGAATAAGAAAATGAAATAACTGGCTTAACCACTGAATATAAGGAGCTAAAACTATTTCTCTTTTGCCATCATTGAATACCCAGAAAACACAAGAGACTCTAATAAGAAAACTATTTAAATTAATAATAAAATAGGGAAGGGGCTCCTGGCTAGCTGAGTCAGAAGAGCGAGCAACTCTTGATCTCAGGGTCATGAGTTCCAGCTCCACGTTGGGTGCAGAGATTACTTAAAAATAAACTTTTTTAAAAAATAAGAAAATAGGGTAAGGTGGCTTACTACAAGAAAAATATTCAAACATTAATAGCTTTTCTTTACATTAGCAATTACTATCCAAAAATGGAAATACAAGGAAAAATTCCATTCAGAATGGCTACAAACATATAAAATATTTAAGGAATAGTAATAAGGTAATAAAGAAGACAGACATGTATGAAGAAAACTATAAAATCTTAGGTAAGGTCATAAAATCTAAATAAATGAAAAGACAATCTACATTCTGGGATGGGAAAACTTAATGGTTTTCCCTAAAAATTAATAAATTTTACATAATTCCAGATGGAATAAAGACAAATGTGAAAAAAATTCTAAATGTACTGTAAGGCTGCTGATATATAATAAAGGTGGCATTTCAATTTAGTGGAGGATTTATTTAACATATAGGGAATGACAAGTGACCATCTGGAAGGAGGAAAAAGTTATAATTCCTCTCATATTACATATAAATTTCAGGTAAATTAATGTTTTTATTTTTCTTATTTTTTAAGATTTTATTTATTTGACAGAGACACAGCGAGACAGGGAACACAAGCAGGGGGAATGGGAGAGGGAGAAACAGGCTTCCCACCGAGCAGAGAGCTCAATTAGGGTCTCGATCCTAGGACCCTCGGATCATGACCCGAGCCGAAAGGCAGGCGCTTAACGACTGAGCCACCCAGGTGCCCTGGTAAATTAAAGTTTAAAAGAACAAAAATCTTAGAAGAAAATCTAGGGGACTACATACATGTATAATCTAGGGTAGGGAAGACCTTAACCAAGTGAGGAACACCAAAAGAAAAGAGAAATAGGTTTAATTAAATAAAAATTGAACATTTTGCATGGCAAAAGCTCCCATAGGGGCGCCTGGGTGGTTCAGTTGTTAAGCGTCTGCCTTCGGCTCAGGTCATGATCCCAGGGTCCTGGGATCGAGTCCCACACCGGGCTCCCTCCTCGGCGGGAAGCCTGCTCTCCCTCTCCCACTCCCGCTGCTTGTGTTCCTGCTCTCACTATCTCTGTCTCTGTCAAATAAATAAATAAAATCTTTAAAAAAAAAAAAGCTCCCATAAACAGTCAAGATTTAGAAACAAATTTTCAAGGCAGATGACTGATAGGAGTTGATACCTGTATTACAAAGCAAGTTTATACATCAGTAAGAAAAAACAACCCAAAAGACAAAAAGAACATGAATAAACAAGTCACAGAAGAACAAAATCAGATGGCCTCTAAACAGGAAAATGTAATCAAACTCAGTTGTAGTTGGAGAAATAAAAATGAGATGCCACTTTCATCCAACAAACAGGTAAATTTAGGGACACGTTGGTGGCTCAGTCGGTTAAGCATCTGCCTTCAGCTCAGGTCATGATCCCAGGGGCCTGGGATTTGAGCCCCGCATTAGGCTCCCTGCTCAGCAGAGGGTCTGCTTCTCCCTTTCTCTCTCCCTCTGCCTCTCCCCCTTCTTGTGCTCCTGCTCTCTCTTAAATAAATAAGATCTTTAAAAAAAAAAAAAAAACAGGAAAATTTAGGGAGAGAACACCTGGAGGTGGAGGGGAGGGCAAAGGGACATTTTTACACATTATCTGTAAAAATGGGAATTGTTATAGCCTTTTGGAAAATGGATCTGACAGCATCTATTAAAAGCAAAACATAGGGGCACCTGGGTGGCTCAGACGGTTAAGCATCTGCCTTCGGCTCAGGTCATCCCAGGGTCCTGGGATCGAGTCCCGCATCGGGCTTCCTGCTAGGCGGGGAGCCTGCTTCTTCCTCTGCCTCTGCCTCTCTCTCTCTCTCTGACTCTCATGAATAAATAAAAAAAATATTTTTTAAAAAATAAAAAAATAAAAGCAAAACATATATAGTCCTTACTTCAGCCATCCTACAGTTGGAAATCTAATCTCCATAGATGTAAACACAACAGTGGGACAGAAGTACAAATATTTCAAGTATTGTTCTTGGTGGCCAAAAAACAAAGAAAACCTACCCAAACTGGAAACAAAGTAAATGTCCATTAATAGTGGAATGGATGAATAAATTACATTGTATTCAAATATAAAAATACTAATAAATTATGCTAATTCTTAGAGAAATTTGCATTGGTGTTACTAAGTAGAAAAAAAGGCAAAACACAAAGTGTATATTATATAATCTCATTTTTTATTATCATGTGCACGTGCGCATGCACACACACACACAAGTATATATAAGCACAGACAAAAATATGGTAGTAAATACATGGGATTACCAACAAAAAGGAGGCAGCAAGGGAGAAAAAGACCACTTTTTTTTTAAAAGCATGGAAATTTTACCGTTAAAATTATGTATCCTGTGTGTGTACCTACATGAATGCATTAAAATCTATTTTTAGATCTATTATCTCCTAATGTGTAGGAATAGCATCCTACAGTGTTAAGTGAATAAAGCAAGTTTCAAATAATGTGTATAAAAAGGTTCTATTTCTGTAAAAAGGCAAAAACAAAGCCCTAATAAATTTGTTTAAATGTTTGTGTGAGCAAGGAGTAAGCTATAAAAGG